CTGAATGGTCTAAACACGGTGTTTGTGCTTCGTGTGTGGAGGAGCTCAGATCTCCTCAGAAATACTTCAGAACCTGTCTCCAGCTCCGAGAGCGATTCAACGTCCACAGGTACAAGACCCAGACCAGGACCTGGACTGAGACCAAGACCAGGACCAGGACCAGGACCAGACCAGGACCGAGACCAGGACCTGGACCAGGACCGAGACCAGGACCAGGACTAAGGGTTCTTTCACTCTAGTTGAATTATTAGTTGGTCAGATTCTTGTGGATCAGAGTCCAGTTTGGTTCCTCCAGACTCAAGCACCAAGACCAGACCACAGAGTCTCTCCGTGGGTCCAGACGACTCGGTTTGTTGAAGCCTCCTAAGAACCTCAGTCCCAAACCTCCAGACCACAGGAACCTCGGCTCTAACACCGACTCCGACCGTCGCAGCCGCGACATTTACATTTTTTATTTGACTTTTTTTCCTCCGACAAACAAGGGAAAAATGAAGTTACGGCGTCGATCTTTTCAGGACAATATTTTAACAGACCAGAACTTCACCAGGACCGACCCAGACCCAGAACTTCACCAGGACCGACCAGACCAGAACTCCACCAGGACCGACCCAGACCCAGAACTCCACCAGGACCGACCCAGACCCAGAACTCCACCAGGACCGACCCAGGTCCAGATCAAGTCCAGATCTGGTTCTGATCCTGGTTCTGTGTGTTTCAGTCTTTTGGAGCGAGAAGGAATCACACCATCAAACAACAAAACCTACGAGGTCAGAAACACAAACACACAAACACACACACAACACACAAACACACACACACACAAACACACACAAACACACACACAAACACACACACACACACACACACACACACACACACACACACACACACACACACACACACACACACACACACACACACACACACACACACACACACACACACACACACACACACACACACACACACACACACACACACACACACACACACACAGGATGTAACTCTTCTTCTTCTCTTCTTCTTCTTGTTGTTCAGGTGGATCAGATCCGTGAGGTGGTGGCTCCTCTGTTTGGAGATCATCATGAGATTCAGTGTTTTCAAGACAAAAAGGTCAGAAACTCAACAGTGTTTAAAGTTTAAAGTTTAAAGTTTAAAGTGAGTTTGTCAGACTCCAATTTTACATTTAAGAGATTAAAAAAACAAACAAACACACAGTTTGGTTGGTCAATAAAAAACAACAAAAAAACAACAAAAACCACCCAAATCAAACGGAAACCAATAAAAACCAACCAAAACCAACAAAATCCAACCAGAACCAACAAAAACCGACTGAAACCAAGAACCAATCAGCTCTGGGAGTTTGGGCCCAGAGAAAAACCTTCTGGGACTTGAACCTGGTCTTTGTGTTTCAGGGTCGGGAGCTTTGGTTCCAGATGAAGGTTTCTCTGTCTCCAAACGGGACCTCGGGCTGCAGCCCCTCGGACCTCAACTGGGCCCCCGAGCCGCCTTTGACCCACCCCTGCCCCCCCGACACCCCGCTCTACTACCCCCCCATCGAACACGGACCCTGAACCCGGACCAGGACCAAGACCAGGACCAAGACCAAGACCACCACAACAGGACCCTGAGGACCAAGGACCAAGACCAGACAAGACCAGACAAGACCAGACAAGACCAGACCCCACTCTACTACCCCCCCATCGAACACAGACTCTGAACCCGGACCAAGACCAAGACCAAGACCAAGACCAGGACAAGGACCAAGACCAAGACCTGGACCAGGACCAAGACCAAGACCAAGACCCGCTCTACTACCCCCCATCGAACACGGACCCTGAACCCGACCCGACCAAGACCAAGACCAGGGACCAGGACCAGGACCAAGGACCAAGACCTACTACCCCCCATCCACCCCCCCCCCCAGACCAGACCCGCTCTAACCCCCCCCCCATCGAACACAGACCTGAACCAGGAAAGACCAAGACCACCAGGACCAGGACCAAGACTCATTTTCACTGAATAAAAACCCCAGACTGTTCTTGTTTTATTAGTTTTTATTTGTTTATTTTTGTTTGTTTGTTTGTTTGTTTGTTTGTTTTGAGGTGAGCAGGTTCTTGGGAGGGCATCCGGGTTAAACGTGTTTAAATAAAATAAAACATAAATAGGTTCTTAAAGTGCGTCAGTGCAGCTTTAGTCTGGATCCGTTTCCACGACGACGAACTCAGACTTTAGAAGGACCAACCTGAAAAAAAACCAGGATTAAACCAGAACTGAACCAGGACTAAACCAGAACTAAACCAGGACTAAACCAGAACTAAACCAGGACTAAACCAGAAATGAACCAGGACTAAACCAGGACCAGGACTAAACCAGAACTAAACCAGGACTAAACCAGGATTAGACCAGGACTAAACCAGAACTAAACCAGGACTAAACCAGAACTAAACCAGGACTAAATCAGGACTAAACCAGGACTAAACCAGAACTAAACCAGGAC